CGTCGCGCTGTGATGACGTCAAATGCGCACTTTCGTCAAGCGCGATTTTGTCCTCCGCGGTTTTGTGGTGGAACCTGCTAAACCATAATTCATATTATACAGTAAGCCAAAAGTGAAAACCCCCTGGAACCTATGCTGTTCTCAGATTATATTGTTGGTATTTGATAGCAAAATATTGCATTTTGAATGGTATTTTTTTCTTTTAAAATTTCAAATTTTTACCCTTAAACCTCTTTATTATTTCTCCCCAAATAAGCCACATACTTGATTGCTATTTCATCATAAGCCATAAGAATAATAAAATCCAAGGACTGAAACATTTTTCCAGTGTGCTGAACTTATGAAGGGTTTTGAAAGAGGAAATAATGCACTTGTCTCCTTTTTCCAACTAAGAACTACTCCTGGTTCTTAGCATTTTGTATTAAATATAGAGGTTTTTTTTAAAAAAAATTGAAACTTGAATTCTTTAAGGTCACTTATCTGTTACAATGATTTTTATTTTTTAAAAAGTGGTTAAGTCATTGGATAAATAAACGAAATAGTAAAGCATATTCGTTTGTATTTGAAAAGAATCCTGTTTATCTTCACCTTGTTCATCTGTTATATTGCAGAAATAAACTCTTTCCCGAGTCTGTCATCAGGAACATTATGTATCAAATATTACAAGGGTTAGCTTTTATCCATAAACATGGTGAGTAGTCTATATTGCTGCTACTGTGTAGTATTGGGGTGAATAGGCTAATGAACACTTTATAAAGAGGAGATGTAATAGACATGTGATATATAGTACCAATATTCCAGTGATAAAAAGTTTAAAATAATTGCTAAATAAATTACTTCAGAAAAAAAATGAAATTACTTTGAGAATCAAATGTTCCGGAACCTAAATCCCAGTAAATATATTAATTGGTTGTGGGTTGTAAATGTTACAATTTCTTTGCATAGGATTCCATCCAGAATAGTGCTTTACTTGGGCACAAAAAGTCACTTCAAATGGAAGTATGACCTAGGACATTTTTTTGTAAGTGTTAATCAGGTTTTTGATGGCCAGTGCTTATTCTAAAACCACACTTATCCTAATTCACTTTGTTCACATTTGCGATTATTGACATTTAATGGGCTGTCATATTTCATAGTGTGTACTGTGTAGTGTCCAAGAGATGGTATTAAGTTGAATAAAGTACGTATTCTATGCCTTTGTATATATCATAATGTTTGGCTGCCTAAATTTTATTAGAGGGTACAAATTTTCCTGTCCATTTGTTTTATTAGAATGCTGGCAGTACATTTTACACTGTTCTGCACCAAGGGAAATGATAGAGAGCTAGGTGCAGTATTGTAGAAATCTATAGAAGATACTCCTTTAGTAGCAGAGTGTATAGATTTGGAATAGTATAAATTTATTATGAGAAACTTTTGATTTGTTAGAACTTAAAATGTTAGCTACCTGACATTTTTTCTCTCAGTTTTATTCTTTATACTATAATATTTTATGATCCTTTTGTCATCAGATCTATGCCTACTCCTATATTGGTCTTGCTGTAATCTATTTCAAAGAATCATATTCCTGATTTCTAATACCAGTTGTGATATAATCTAAAGATTTAATTGACTCTGTAAAGGGGAGAACAAATTTCAAAGATTATTGTTGCTGTGAATGATATGCTTTTAAAAGAAACAATTTTGGCAATATTTAAAGGGGCATGAAGAAGTTTACATTAAATGTAGGCTGAATAATGCTTAGGCTAAATGTATTTTAATCATGAAAAAATCTGATGTAGTTATTTGTTTAGTTCATTAAACATACACTATTTTTAATTTCATTCTATAAATCAACAAACATCTCTTTTAAAGTTTTAATAGCCGGATCAAATGCAGTTGATCCAGTGACTTAAATGTAGTTTGATCCTGTTAGTACCAGATCAGTGAAATAGGTTAGCTCCCAGTTATACCTGATCGATAAATTTTTGAAGTTTGTATTTAGTGCAGTTTGAAAATAAAATTTAAAAGCAGATTTGTATGGCAATCCGTGTAGTTTAAAATAAAGAATCCTATTATTAGTAGAATTTGAAATCCACTCCATTGTTATCTATTTATTCTACATTCATGTTTACAGGATTTTTTCATCGAGATATGAAACCTGAAAACCTTCTTTGTATGGGTCCAGAACTTGTTAAAATTGCTGATTTTGGATTGGCTAGAGAACTAAGATCTCAGCCTCCATACACAGATTATGTTTCTACCAGATGGTAAGTGTGAGTTTTAATGGGGATTTCACTTATAAGCCTCTTGACTAGTTATCAGTTATTTCTTTTCATCTTTTTCAGGTATCGCGCACCTGAAGTTTTATTGAGATCTTCTATTTATAGTTCCCCTATTGACCTTTGGGCTGTTGGTAGCATAATGGCTGAATTATATACACTCAGACCACTTTTTCCAGGAACAAGTGAAGTTGATGAAATTTTCAAAATTTGCCAGGTGTTAGGAACACCAAAGAAGGTAAAGTATCTTGAAAATGCGTATTATTACAATTGGTACAAATTAAAATGACAGGTAGCTCTTGGTTAATGACCACTCATTTACCAACCATTTGAAATTATGGTGCTTAAGGAGTGGTGGTTAAGATCGATTATTAAGGTTTCGGCTGCCCCAGCAGCACTGGTCATGTGATCATGATCTCAGCACTTGGGGGGCTGGCTTTTACTTATAGTAGTTTCAGCACCCCATGGTTGTATGTTTGCAAATTGCAATGTTCTCTGTTGCTCGCACAAGCAAGTCAATGGGGAAACCAGCAGGGAAAGTTGTTTTAAGTTATTCAGGTAAGTCTTCCATCTCCATGCATACCCACCACTTTGCTCATGCCATACCTCCCCGCCACTCACATACTCTCTCTCACCTTACAGCAACCACCCCATGTCCCTGTGAGCTCATGCCATGCTCGTCTGCCAGTTGTACACCTTTGAGCACCCTCACACCCAGGAGCAGCCACTCCAAGTCAGATTCAGAAGCAATTTGTAGGGAGAAACAAAGCTGGAGACACTCTTTTTTCTAATTAAAACAATCAATTTTGTCATCTGTGCTAGCTCTGTAACTTGTCCAGCCGTTCTTTCATTGTGGGGCTTGACATCATCACTCTTTATAATTAACTTTCCAGTATATAACACAGTTAATCTCACTCATTGCATGTTCAGAGACTATTCAGGGTTAATGACATCACTGGAAAAGATTTACAACTGGTCCTTGAAGTTGGTATAGTATTCCTGCAGTTAAGTGGTTGCACTTGGCAATCAGAAGGCATGTATGACAGTTGCAGTATCCCACGATCTTGGGATCACCATTTGTGACCTTCACCGCCAGTTTCCAACAAGCAGAGTCATTGGGGAAGCCAGAAGGAAGCCACAAGTGGGAAAAGTGTACCTTGAGACTTGGAAGATTGATGTCAGACTTTTCAAGTAAACCAGAAAGGAAACACAACTAAATGAACTCATTCTATTTTATTGTTAGGCTACATTAACATAACTTTTGAAGTCTGCAGGTACAGATCTCCTGCCATCACTTTTAACCACCAGATCAATTAGGGCAGATCCTTCCTAAGTTTCTTCCTCTAACTGTTAAGCCACTTGGGGCTTGCCCATGTTTTGCCTGATAGTTTCCTGTTCTGACCCCCCCCCCTCGTTCCACACCAAAGCACACTCCGAGCCAGAGATAAATTACAGCATTTAATTAACAGACAAACAGGTCCTTGGCAGCAACCCGGCACAGACAAGCTTGGGCAGCAATAAACACAGATAAGG